TGGGGGTGTGTGGTGTGGTGTGGTATGTCAGATAAATGCACCAGTGAGGCACTTGATCAGCCCAGGGTGTGTGTGTGTGTGTGTGTGTGTTGTAGAGTGAAGCACTTGATCAGCCCGGTGTGTGTGGGGGCAGTGGGTATGTGTGGGGGTGGGTGGGTGTGTGTCGTGTCAGATAAATGCACCAGTGGGGCACTTGATTCCCAGAATATTACTTTTTCATTCTCTAATATAAGAATGATCTAAGAACCACCCCCTACCTAATTTGCAGTCAAAAATTATTTAAAAAACAAACAGAATGTAATTGATTTACATAGTGTGCTTCTAACTCTTTCCCTCTGAAACCTAACACATTCACTCCTAAAAGCTTAGCTAGATTATAGGCTGCAGTGTAGAGAATTTTGGTATTGCGTTCACGAACAATTTTCCTTTACAGCTGTCTTCCCCTCAAAAAAAGCATTTCACATACAAGGACAGTGTTACAAAATTGCTTTGAGTTTACGCTAATTATATTTTTAAGAAATTCTCTAAAAACTTGAGCACACTAACCATTATTAGAAACATATCCTATAACTGAATTTACAGGTGCCTCCACTGATACCCACCCTCAACAACAAAAAAAGAGAGAGAGAGAAATCTTAAACTTGTTGCTTTTGCTTTAGTCTGGTGTACTCCAGCCCTGTAGGGCCGAGTAAGACTGCCTCGTAGCTTTCCAGGGCTGTCGGTCTTCATGGAAACAGACTGTCTTGTCTTTCTCCTGAGGAATGGTTGCTGGATTTATTGCTGCGCTTTTGATTCGCAGACAGTCGCTGAACCACTTTGCGACCAGGCCCCCTCCTCTCCTGATATAGCATTTTAAATTAATCGTTGCTAATAAGGATTATTAACTATCAGTACAGCAAACTGTTAACTGTAAGGCTCACCTCTATTTTATATATGATTAAGAAGGAAATGTCATGGCAATTTTACTGTGATAAACTCACTTTTAAGACACATTGTGGTTTCAGAGTTGTTAACATTATAGGGGATAAGGGGTACTTAAAATGATGAAATAAAGAGGTTTTTGCTTTGTTTTTATGTGTTTGTTGTCAGACATTGGAAAAAATAGTTGCTTTTTTTTTCCAAAGTGGTTTGAAGATTTTCTTTGCTATTGAACAATCAGCTACAATCCTTTAAAATGAAGTTTGTCATATTATAAATAGTGGTTAAGAAAGGAAGATAGTAATACTGCACATTGTTATTTTTAATAAAGCAGGTATTTTTCTGACAAAAATGAGAGACAATTTGAAGAATACAAAATTGAATAATACTGTCACTTGTAGCATAACCAACCTGGGATAACCATTGTCAACATGTTAGTGTATTTTTGTTTGTCTTTTAAGTAAGCTATATAGTCTAACTGCATACTTTATCATAATTTCAACTTTAAAAGCTATGTAAAAGGTAACATTTCAGAAGCAAGATGGCGAGTCTATATGTACAATAGGTTTTTTATTTCAAAGTCTGTGCTTAAAAAAAATACTGACTTGAATGAAGTGGCTTCAGAAGTCTTTGGGAAAATGGCATTAACTTTTAATTCCTTTTTCTTTTAAACCTTTTAATGTACAGAGCAGATCATGGTTCAGTGATTTCATACACAAACCCATCTCATTCATTGCAGTTCCTTCAGTGGAACATCACCCAACCCACTCCTTCCCCATGTTTCCTGTCTCTTTTCCTCCTCCTTTTCCTACCTTTGTAAATTGTGTCCCTGGGTAATTGCTACCCCCATTGTCCACATGGTCAATTGTTCTAAGATTCGTATGTCTCACTAATGTTGTTGTTCCCCTTATAGACCTGTCTGTTATTTGTCCGAAAATTGGGCAACAGGCATGAGTTCAGTTTAGACCTGACGGGTGGCTCAGGGCCATAATCTCATGCATGATACTGCCCGTGTCTGTCCAACAAGCGATTACCTTCATGATGTTGTTTTCTGCCGTTTCCCTCCCATTCTCTCAGAGCAGTCCGTAGTGACAGTGGGATGCCCTGGTTTTTCTAGTCTCAGAGACCTGGAGACATGTTCATGTGGTCCTTATCCACTGTTACCAGCTGCTTTGCAGGACTGTATACAGGATACAGACTTTGTTTCATTGCTCTTCACATTACTGCACTTGGCACATACAAGTTGAAGTTTTGTGGCAACCCTGTGTTGTGTAAGAGTTGCCAGCGCCATTTCCCAACAACATATGCTCACTTCATGTCCTTCCTCTCTGTCACATCTTAGGAGTTCTCACAGTGTTTCAAATTTTTTCATAATGCTATTCATACTTAATTGTTATTGTTTGTTTCCCGGTGCATTGATTCTAACTCATAGCAACCCTGTGTACAACAGAATGAAGTACCGCATGGTCCTACGTCATCCTCACAACCGTTCTGATGCTTAAGTCCATTGTTACAGCCGCTGTGCTAACCCATCTTGTCTTGTTCACTGCCCTCCACTTCACCAAGCATGGTGTCCTTTTCCAGGGATTGGTCTCTGCTGGTCACAAGTCCTAAGTAGGTGCCATCCTTGCCTGTACAGAGCATTCTGGCTGTACTTCTTCCAAGACAGGTTTGTTTGTTCTTTTAGCGGTGTGCGGTTCTTTGAATATTCTCCACCAATACCATAATTCAAATGTATCAATTGTTCTTCAGTCTTCCTTAGTCAACGCCCAACTTTCACCTGTATATGAAGTGATTGAAAGTACCATGGCCTAGGTCATCGGTACTCTAAAGAGTCTTGTGCAGCAGATTGGCCCAGTGCAATGTGTCTTTGGATCTCTTGATTGCTGTCTCCATGGGCATTGATTGTGGATCCCAGCAAGACAAAATCCTTGACAACTTCACCCTTTTCTCTGTTTATCATGGTGTGACCTATTGGTCTAGTTGTGAGGATTTTGGTTCTCTTTACATTGACTTGTAATCCATATTGAAGGCTGCAATCCTTGATTTTCATCAGCAAGTGCTTCAAGCCCTAACTTTCAGCAAGAAGCTTATGCCATCTGCATATGGCAGGTTGTTAATAAGCCTTCCTCCAATCCTGATGCTATGTTCTTCTTCATATAAACCAGCTTCTCTGCTAATTTGCTCAGTATGCAGATCGATTAAGTATGGTGAAAGGCTACAACCCTGATAAACCACTGTCCTGATTTTAAACCATGCAATATTCCCTTGTTTTGTTCACACAGCTATTTCTTGATCCATGTACAGGTTCTGGAATTTTCTATTCTTCTCAAGACTATCTATAGTTTGTTATGGTGCACACTGTTGAATGCCTTTGTAAAGTAGATACAAGTAAACATCTTTCTGTTATTTGCTGCTTTCAGCCAGAATCCATGTGACATCAGCAATGATCTCTCTTGTTCCACATCCTCTTCTGAGTCTAGCCTGAACCCTGTCAATGCACTGCTCCAACCAATTTTGAATGGTCTTCAGCAATATTTTAATTACATGTGATATTAATGTCCAATTACATGTCCAATAATTTCCACATTCTGTTTGGTCATCTGTCTTTGGATTGGGAACAACTATGGATCTCTTCCAGTCGGTTGTCCTGATAGACATGAGTGCTTCCAGGGCTTCATCAGCTTCTTGAAATATTTCACTTGCTTTTTCATCAATCCCTACAACCTCGTTTTTTGCTAATGCCTTCAGTGCAGCCTGAGCTGCTTCCTACAGTACTATTGGTTCTTAATCATCTGTGCCTCCTGATTGGTTGAAGGTTACTGGTTCTTTTTGGTACTGTGCCTCTGTGGAAAAGATTCTTGCCATCTTTGGATGCTTCTTGACCATGGAATCTTTCAGTATTGCAACTGAATGCTTGCATTTTTTCTTGAGTTCTCCGTGTTAAAATATGCTGAGCATGTTCTGGTTTTCTAACACTAGTTCTTTGCTCATTTCATAATAATATTTTACTTTGTCTTCTTGAGCTGCCCTCTGAAATTTTGTGTTCAGCTCTTTCACGTTACCATTTTTCCTGTGTACCTTAGCTATTCTATAATTAAAACCAAGTGTGAAAGTCCTCTGACATCTACTTTGGCCTTTTTTTTTTTCTTTCCTATCTTTTTATTGACCTTTTGCTTTCTTCACGTATGATGTTCTTGATGTCATCCCATCTTCTGTTAGTAGTATTTAATGCATCAAATCTATTTTTGAAATGTTCTCAAAATTCAGGTGTGATGTACTCAAGGTTTGATGGCTCTCGTGCACTTGTTTTAATTTTCGTCAACTTTGAGTAGTTGATTATCTGTCCCACAATTGGCCCCTGGTCTTGTTTTAGTTGCTGATATGTAGCTCCTGTATCATTTCTTCCCACAGGCGCAGTCGGTTTGATTTCTGTGTGTTCTACCTGGAGAAGCCCATGGATAGAGTCTCCATTTGTGTTGTTGAAAAAATGGATTTGTGATGAAGTTGTTGATCTTGCAGACTTCTATCATGTGATCTCCAGCTTCATTTCTATCATCAAGACCTTATTTTCCAACTACTGTTCCTTCCTCTTTGTTTCCAACTTTTGCACTGAAGAGACTACAGTTTAGTGTAAACATAACTTTTATATGCACGGGGAAACCCAAAGCAAGCCATGTTGCTTGCTTTATTGCTATACTCACTTTACTGTGGTGCTCTGGAACCAAACCCACAGTACCTCCAAGGTATGCCGGTACGTTATCCAAGCTCACTGCCACCGAGTGGTTCCGACTCCGGGATCCCTGACCTGCCTTCGTTTCTGACACTGTAAATCTTCACAGGAATAGAAAGCCTCGATCTTTCCCCACTGAGGGGCTGGTGCTTTTAAACCATTGATCTTGCAGTTCACAGGCCAGCAAGTAATCCCCTATACCACCAATGGCCCTTTATTTTATTTTTATTGTGTAATAATTAGGTGAAGGTTTAGAGAGCAGATCATAAGTTTTGCATTTATACACATCTGTTTCGACTTATCAATTGCAAGTCCCTCAAAGGACCATCTCTTATTGCACTTCTTCCTCCCTGGGTTTCCTGCTTCCAAGTCCTCCTCGTCCTCTAACCAGATAAATGTTGTCTTTAGGTAAGGGCTGTCCTTTTTATCTTAAATAGTTTATTATTCTAATACCACAGTAGTAAATTCCATTTTGGACGCCTCTTTTTTCCTCTGGACAAAGAGAGAGCTATAATTGTACCTAGATGGGTGTTCACGAACTTGTAAGACCCCAGACACGACTCACAAAAGTGGGATATAGACGTGGTGGATTTGTTATGCCCGTTGACCTTGATTTCCCCCTAGACTACACTTGTGAGCTCCTGGCCCAGTTACTTATTCCTTCAAGGTGTTTGGTTATATGTAAGAAGTCTTCATAATCTTGCTTTCTGTATGTTCCACCAGAGTCATTGATATATATGCACCACATATTCTCTGTTAGATTTCTATATATTTGTGCATATAAATCCACCGTCCCTTCTACATCTAGTCAACCTGCTTGTCTATCTGTTTTTAGATTGCAGTTTTTGAAGTCTCCTTGTATCCATTAACTTTTTGGTCCTAAAAACATAAAATTACTGCTATTGTCAAAGTATGTATGCCTGTCTATATCATTATCCTTGAGTATTACGTAGTTTTTAATTTTGTGTTGCCTTTTTTAAAAGGTTTCTGTTCCTGCCATAACAAAAATAGTGAGAATGTTGATAGAAAATGAAGCATGTTACCAATGTCACTAATCCTACTGTCTAGAAACAGGGGCGTGGAATGGATCTTACTGTGTATATTCTCACCAAAAAGAAAAACAAGTATATGCCAACTTTTGCAAGTGAATAGCTGATTTAACCTATGTGTTCTAGAGAATCTCGTCCTGAGGTTTCTGGAGTCTGATTTTGAAACATGACACACCCTATAAAGATACCACAGCTTCCTTCACAATATATACGAACTTCTTTTTTCATTCGTTTTTGTAGTATTGCTTATGTGATTACTTAAAATAATTCTGTGCCTTATATTTCATATACATAAATCATAGCTGTATATCTGTGAAGAAAACAGAAGAGCCAATGAATATGATTTCAAGAAAGCTTTGGACTTGCTGGAATACATTGATGAGGTAAGAAGAATCGTTGCGATGGGCTCTGCTGACTATCACAATATGAGGGGCTTCAGAAAGCTTGTGGGGAAATGGAGTTAAAGAAAAATGGATGGGGCGGTTATAGTCATAGTGCGGGGTGAAAGGAAGACGATGTCAAGAAGTCCATGTAGAAAGAGATTGCTTGGAAGCTGATTATGATAACAATTGTACAGCTCTGCTTGACGTGATTGAAATGTGGAATTATATATGTTTTAAACCCCAACTAATAAAAAAAGAAAAATGGGAATGTTTCTATGGATTTCTCTAAATCTCCTCCTAGGTATTCTTCTTTAGAATGGGACATATAGAAGGCCACGGGGCTCTGTGTGCCAGTCACGAAATGCGTGAAAGGACAACGGCCCCTTTAAGTAGCTGCCGCAGCGTCACGTCGGCCCTCGGTGCCTGCGAGGGTCAGTCAGCCTGCGCTGCTCCTTCTGCCCCGAGCTCTGCAGACGTCCAGTGAGCCCGAAGAAAAGCAGCCTGGTGCCGGCAAGCCAGTGCCCATTCCTGGTGGCTCCTGTGCCCCGGTGATCAGGGCCGGGCCTTTAGAGGCAGGTCCCTTCTGCGTGGCTTCAAACCAACGGCCTTTGGCTAGGAAGCAAGTGCTTCACTGTTAGCATTGTCAGAGAGTTCGTTCTTGATAATTGTCACATACCCATAGATGAGTTTTTTGGTGCATGAGGGAAAATCCCTGCTTTCCAAAGTTGGGAGGTTTTTCCCTTTTCATGAAGTGATTATGAGTTCTTGAATATGGTATGTTTCTTTATCAGTTTATCTTTTGTAGGGTTTACCATGAGAGAAGCTGTTTCTTGTGAAAATTCTGTAGTTTTACAGTAATTTATATACTGGTAACTAATGTATATTAAAACAGTATTATTATAATGCATGCTTATACCAATGTAATATAATTGGGCACATCTGATTAAAAGACCTCTTTAAAGTGTTACAATGCAAAATTGTCACTTTGAGGACTAAGTTAAACATGAGCCAAGCCACAGTGTTCTCAGATCCTCATGCACCTGAAAACTGAGCAGTGAGGAAGGAAGGAAGCCTGCAGAATGGATGCCTTTGCATTGTGGCAGCCGTGCGGAAGCGAGTGGAATATGGACGGCTAGAAGAACAAACCAATCAGTAAGAGTGCTGTTTCGAGGAGAGGATTGTGAGACTTTATCTTACCTACTGTGGAAATGTCACGAGATGAATCCCTGGAGAAGGACATCTGGCTTGATAAAGTTGAGGGTCAGCAACAACAAAAAGGAAGACCCTCACCGAGATGAACTGAGACCGTGGCGGACCACTGGGCTGGAACATAACAATTGTGAGGCTGAAGTTGCTGTAAATCAGATCCAGCTCTATGGCACCTAACAGCTGTTCTATGACTTGGCATATCAAAGTAGCTTAGTCGATTTTAAAAACATAATGCAGAGAGAAGAGTTATTTTTAGAAATTATAAGTTAAAGCAACTCTATGCTAAATGATCATTTTATGTGACCTACTCAATTTTTATTGAAATTTAATAATTTTTGTTGTTTTGTGTCTTTTTGCTTTGAAGGTGGAAGATGTAAATAAAAACGACCTAAAACTGGAAATCCTTTGCAAAGCACTTCATAGAGATAAGTACGTTCTCATCGTGTGAATCAAATAGATGATTTTAGAAAGGGACTCTTCTTAGAAAGAGTATTATGTATCAAATTGTTTTTTCAGAAATACATTCTTTTCTCATTTTCATAGAAGTAGAACTAGTTTTACCAAAGAAGACACAACACACCACTTCTTTAAGAATAAAAAGTCATTACAACTTGAGGATCATTACTGTCTTAAGTTAATGAATACCTCTTTTTTTCATAGTCATTTTGCTACAGAGGAGGATTTCAATCTACAAGAATAAAAGACAGACTCAGTGGTAGGGCAGGATTAACAATCATCTGTTATAGGATGGGCCTTTTCCAAGAAAACAATTGTAAAGAAATCTTGACTGCTAGAAGCCTTCCACTACTCACAGGTTTTCTTTCTCCTGTGGTACGGAGAAATTGCAGTAGAACTGTTTTATTTTCTTCATCCTTTGATTATTCCCAAATCATTAAAATTGTTGTTAACTTTGGTCTTAGAAATTAACTAGGAAACCTAGCGCTGAACTTGTCTACTTGCTTCCTTTCCCACCCCTAAGTTTTAGAAAAATTCAGCACCATAGATTCGCTTCTGCCACACAGCGACCTTAAAGGACAGTGTCGTGCAGGCCTGTGCGTCTCCCTGAGATGGTCTGTAAGGGAGCAGGAGTTCGCCTGTGGCGTGCGGTCATTGCCAACTGCTGGCTAAACGTAGCCACTACACCAACAGAGCCCCCAAGTCACACGGAAAGTGTGCTGTTAGTTTGACTTGGATTTGTGGCCCTGGCTTCTTTAAACATTTTAAGGCATTGTGTGAGATGCATCCATTTATTACTACAATACAGTGGTGTGTTTGTAATTTAGTAGTAATCTCAACTAGATAAATAATCTCATCTAGGTAAAGAAAGCTGCTCTTCCTGTGCTATGCCCTAAATGCAGGTAGTGGTCGCCATGAAACCAATTGAAAGTCAGAACGCTGTTAAAAGGCATTGCAACTGTTGCTTATGTTATGAAAGAGCATTGAGGTTTGTGTTAGGTTGGGGTATCTAAAGAAGAAAACTAGTGATTCTTACATAGAGGATAACAAGAAAATGAGTCAGACCGTCATAAGAGTGGACCTGTCCAGTCCAAGTTCCGTGGGTCGGATGTTAAGCTAGAGGCCTTTTCAGATTTGTGTAGCTTCAGGGTCTGCTGAACTCAAGATCAGCTAGAACAGCACAGGCTAATATCAGATACTTGGTTAGCAGGTCAGGTGGCAGACTGATTTTGGTCCCTGGGGGTTGGCAAGCAATATGACAGCCTGCTCACTCAGGTCCAAAGAACGAGAGAGCCATGCGTCAGATGCAGGATCCCAGAAAAGCAAGCAGGCTCCTCCACGATGTCCGTATGTAAAAAGCACGCCGCTCCCCCGCCTTAGGGAGCTTCCTCTCGATTGTATCAGGGCTGTGACTTGAGTAAGAGGGTTGCATTCCACCCTGGACATAGTACAGCTGCTCACAGCAGACCCCGTGATGGGGTGATTTGGGTTAGGTCGTCTCAACTGGCCTTAACCTTTTTGAGAATGACCCAGCCACGTTGACACCAAACCTCACCCTCAGAGGGTCCGTAGCTACATTCGTTACTTACTTTGTCGAGGATTTTCATGGGAAAGAGCATGTCACTGCATAATGTTTTACACCAGAGTCTTAGTAGTAGATAGATTCGCTCAGGCAGCATCTTACCTAGTAGTGATTGTAAGGTGTATCCAACATTGAAAGCTCCTAGATTAAATGATCTAAAATGAAATCACAAAACTCGGATCCTCCACCACCCCCACCATCAAAACAAAAACAAACAGCGTTTTCTTTACGATTCTGTCTGTGGTTTCATTTTTCCTTCTCTGTGCTGTTTTCTTCTAGCTGGTCCAGTTCAGATGGTAAAGATGATCCGATTGAATTTTCTAAAGACAGTATATTTGTGAAAATCTTGCAGAAACTTTTAAAAGATGGTAAGTGGGATATTATTTTTAGAAATTACTGCATCACTCTTTAGTTTCAGGAACCTTAGATTCATAGAGATTTGCCAAGATACCAAATGACCAGATGGTTTAATATTAAATAGTATCATATTCAAAATGAGTGATTTATTTAGAATAAACCAGAATGTTTTGTTCCTCCTTCTGCGATTGGGGGTGCATATATTCAGGTGAAGTCTTTATCCAGCTGTGTCTCTGGGTGCCTGTAACAAGCAAGGCAGGCATGCTGATTCAGGCTGGGTGAGGAACACCAGTTAGCATCCAGTGGAAGGTTGAGACACTGAAAGTCTACAGTGGAGAAGAGTTTGTTTTCTTTAATTTTTATTGTGAATATTAAAAACTTTAAATGAGGAAAATTTTGCTATATCTCCTCTAAACTTAATGGAATAAACACAGTGTTTTTACAAATCCATCTTGGACATCAACACTTTAAGTTATAGGAACAAATTGAAAAGAAACACAGAGCAACTATGTTTTACATATATTTTGTACACATGACAGTGAATAAAATTCCCATTTCTTGGTAAAGACACAGGTAGGGAAAAGACGACTTAGAACAGATTTCCTGTCACCTCCTTTGATATTACCAGGACCATAATATATGGAGAATGTTAACACTTGAACTCACATAGAAATGAGAGATTTTTTTTTTTCTTTTTTAACATTTTATTAGGGGCTCATACAACTGTTATCCCAATCCATACACACATCAATTGTGTAAAG